TTGATTTTTAGATTCACTTGTTGATAGATATGTATTTGTTGTCACTTTGTTCGTAATTTTTTATCTTTACCTTTTTCTTCCTCTTCTTAGAGAATACCCTTCAGCATTTCATATAATACTGGTTTGGTGGTGATGAACTCCTTTAGCTTTTTCTTGTTTGTGAAGCTCTTTATCTGACCTTCAATTCTAAATGATAGCTTTGCTGGGTAGAGTAATCTTGGTTGTAGGTTCTTGCTATTCATCACTTTGAATATTTCTTGCCACTCCCTTCTGGCCTGCATAGTTTCTGTTGAGAAATCAGCTGACAGTTGTATGGGTACTCCCTTGTAGGAAACTGTTTTTTTTTTTCTTGCTGCTTTTAAGATTCTCTCTTTGTCTTTTGCCCTTGGCATTTTAATTAGGATGTGTCTTGGTGTGGTCCTCTTTGGATTCCTCTTGTTTGGGGTTCTCTGTGCTTCCTGGACTTGTAAGTCTATTTCTTTCACAAGGCAGGGGAAGTTTTTTGTCATTTTTTCTTCAAATAGGTTTTCAACATCTTGCTCTCTCTTCTTCTTCTGGCACCCCCATAATTCAGATGTTGGTATGCTTGAAGTTGTCCCAGAGCAGTGGTTCTCAACCTTGGCTGCAGTGGATTCTTTTTTGTTTTTGCTTTTCCGGTTGGGTGTTTTTTGCTTCTTCGTATTTCAAATCTTTGACTTGATTCTTGGGATCCTCTTGTCTGCTGTTAGATCTCTGTATATTATTCTTTATTTCAGTCAGTGTATGCTTAATTTCTGATTGGTCCTTTTTCATATCCTTGAGGGTCTCAATAAATTTCTTGGAGGTTTCTAGAAGATTCTTGAGTAACCTTATAACCGTGGTTTTGAACTCTATATCCAGTAGTTTGCTTTCCTCCATTTCTGTCATTTGTGACCTGTTTCTTTGTCTCCGCATTTTTTATGCTTCCCTGTGTTGATAGAGTGGCTTTCTATGCTGAAACTCTGTATATTATTCTTTATTTCAGTCAGTGTATGCTTAATTTCTGACTGGTCCTTTTCCATTTTTTTTGGCATTCTCACTAAGATCCTTGAATGTCTCACTAAGTTCCTCGGAGGTTTCTAGACAAATCTTGAGTAACCTTATAACTGTGGTTTTGAAGTCTATATTGAGTAGTTTTCTTTCTTCCATTTCTTTCATTTGTGACATGTTTCTTTGTCAGCATTTTGGCTGCTTCCATGTGTTTGTTTCTATGTATTTGGTAGCTGCTAAGCCTCCTTGAGTTGATAGAGTGGCCTTATGTAGTACGTGTTCTATAGGGCCCAGTGGCTCAGCCTCCCCAATCACCTGAGGTGGACACTCTTGATGCACCCCTTTGTGGGCTGTGTGCATAGTCTTATTGTAGTTGAGCCTTGATTGCTGTTGGTATCACTGGGAGGAATTGACCTCTAGGCCAATTGGCTGTGGGGACCACCTGTGACTACAGTGGGAGAGCTGCTGTGCAGGAGACACCTTTATAGAGCAGGACTTGCTTCAGTGGGGCTTTGGTGTTCACTGAGTCTTCCCCTTGAGTGTGTCGCTTATGGATGTGAAGAATTGTAATCTGGTATGGTCTCACACTGACCACTGGGTACACTGGCTCTTGGATCTCCAAGGAGGTGCAGAGTCAGCCACTGCCTGGGGCAACCCAGCAGGAGCTACAGAGACATCTTCAGATTTCTCCTCTTTGTATCAGGTTTAGAAGTGCCTAGATGAGACCCAGCTCTGAAGCAAGGCAGGCTGGTGCTGGTGCCGCCAGCCTTGGGCCTTTTATTGATAGCTTTGGGGCTCTCTGACCCAGCTGCAGCTTGTTTGACATGTTTTAGGCTGATAAAGGACAGGGCATTCATATACAAAAGCCTCTGTGCATAGCTTGGGTGGGATTGTAAATTGGTTGAGGCGGGGTCTCAAGGAATCTCCAGGGCAGAGGGAACAGAAATGTCTGCCAGTCAGCCCTACACTGGGGAGGTCCTGTGTGTGTGTGTGTGTGTGTGTGTGTGTGTGTGTGTGTGTGAGGTACAGCAGCTTCCTGTTCTTAGAGGTGGTACTTCATAACCCTTCTGTCCCAGGCAGATCCCTTGCAGTGGTTCTCAATTTTCTGGCCCTTTAAATACAGTTCCTCATGTTGTGACCCAACCATAAAATTATTTTCGTTGCTACTTCATAACTGTAATGTTGCTACTGTTATGAATTGTAATGTAAATATCTGATATGCAGGATGGTCTTAGGCGACCCCTGTGAAAGGGTTGTTCGACCGCCAAAGGGGTTGTGACCCACAGGTTGAGAACCGCTGCCCCAGAGCCTCGCCCAGCACTAGGCTCAGAGCAAGCGGGAGCTTGTAAATTCAGTTCGCAGTGCTGGCCTTTAAGAGGAGCAACTGGGTCTCTAGCAGCCTGTGTGTCACTCAGCTTCAATCTGCACTGGTTTTTACAGTCTGTAGTTCTTACGGCCTGTAGGGACTTCTCTCCCCAGCTCTGGAACCCTGGGCAGGGGGTCTGGTGTGGGGCTGGGACTCCTTGCTCCTCCAGGCAGCCTCCAAAGAGGTGATCTCCTTCCCAATTAAAAAATCGGTACACCTGGGTGCCAGACCAGCCCGTTCTGCGCCTCCACACCTCCTACTAATCTCAATGCACTTTCTTCTTTACCTCTCTAGTTGTAGTACTTTCACTCAGCCAGCTTTCCCATGGTTCTGGATGATAGTTGTTCTGTGTTTTTGTTGTAATTTTGATGTGGTTGTGGGAGGCAGCAAGTACAGGTGTTTACCTATGCTGCTATCTTGGTTCCTCTCCTCAGGAATGAAGGCTTTAAGAAAGGGAAACCAAGGCAAATAAACATAACAGCTAATACCTTAAGAAATATAAAATGTGAAAAAGAGGAAACATTCATAATAGCCCTCAAATAAAAACAGCCAAATATCCATTAACTAGTGAATAGATAAAGAAATTTTCATTTATCCCGAAATTAATACTGCTTACCAATAAAAAGACTGAACTAATTATACATGCATCAACACGAATACATCCCAAAAACATTATGCTACATGAAATGTCAGACACAAAAAGTGCTATATGCTTTGTGATTCCATTTAAATTATATTCTAGGAAAGGAAAATATAGGATCAGTTAATGGAGCATTGATTTGTTAGAGGCTGAGAGTATATGTTTGTAAGGAAGGGGCAGGCAATTAACTGCAAAGAGTCATGAGAAAACTTTTTGGGTTAATGGAAATGTTCTTTACTTTGGTTACACTCCTGCCTCCATTTGCCAAAGCTTACCAAACTGTATACTTTAAAAGAATTAATTTTATTGTTTGTAAATTATACTTCAGTAAAAATAAAGAAGTAAAAAAAATAAAATAAAAGGGATTTAAGAAAAGTAGATGCAAGTAGATTTCGAAGAAGATTAAACATCTATATATATAAAAGGCTAATATGCACAGTGTCCCCTCAGGAGTTTGACCATGAGACCAGGAGTTCAATTGCTCGCTATGACATGCGCTGACCTCCAGGGGGTGGCGCGGAACATGGCAGGCGACCAGCAGTGGCAGCGGGGCACTGAGGGAGCTAGGGAAGAAGGAGGTGGGGAGGTGGGGAACCTGATTGGCCCTGATCGCCAGCCAGGCCTAGGGACCCTACACATGCATGAATTTTGTGCACTGGGCCTCTAGCATATACATAATAGGAATCCCCAAGAAAGAAAACTAAAACAGTGGGATACAATCAATATTAACATCTATACTTCATGAAAACTATCTTGAAATAAATTTTTAAATGTTTTAAAATTATATATTGGAAAGGAACTATAAATATGAGGCAAAGAAAATCTACCAAGAAAACTAAAAACTATTAAACTATAAAAAGAAGAAAAAATATTCTATAGTCATCTAGGCTAAACAACCAAGTCATTAATAAGAGAAAGAATATGAGCTTGTCACTAGATTTCTGTCAGCTGATGAAAAGTATTTATTTTTGCCAGAAGAAACTGGAGTAACATATTTAAGAAACTTGGGGAAAGAAAATGGGAGTTAAGGATTTTGCCAAATAGTACTTCAAGTGTAAAGTTCACAGGCAAACTTGCAAGAAATCTGGGAATGCTGTTTCCTCAGCTGTTGCTAAGGAATGCCTGAATATGTGTTAGGTAGAATGACTGGAGACGTGTCGTGGAAGGACTGCTGGCAGTGATTTCATTGGCTGAAAAAAACCACACAAAGAAAGACAACCATATGCAACTCTTGACAAAACTGTACAACACTGTTATGAACTAGTCTTGACAAAAAAAAAAAAAAGAAAGGAAAAAGTAAACAGAAACCTGAATACAATCAAGCCTTTAGGTCAGTTTCCAGGAAACATAGGGGAATGGGGAATGTTAAGTAATACCACCGGCTTGCAATCAGCAAAACCCAGACTGTGTGAAATGTGAAACTACAGGCTAGACCATCTTACTTCTTCAACAAAATTTCCAAGACAGAGAGGGAGAGAGAAAGAAAGCCTATAGATCAGTGGTTCTCAACCTTCTGGCCCTTTTAATACAGTTCCTCATGTTGTGACCCAACCATAAAATTATTTTCGTTGCTACTTCATAACTGTAATGTTGCTACTGTTATGAATCATAATGTAAATATCTGATATGCAGGATGGTCTTAGGCGACCCCTGTGAAAAGGTCGTTTGGCCGCCAAAGGGGTCGCGACCCACAGGTTGAGAACCGCTGCTGTGGATCTAAGAATCAAATTAACTAACCAGTATATGAACCTTGTTGAGGAACTGACACTGATTTATTTAATAATACTAAGGAATTAGTTTTTGAAGGGTTATAATAATGGTATTATGGCTGTGTTTAAAAAGAGGAGTCCTTGTCCTTCAGTAATACATACTGAAATATTTAAATTAAATGACAGTATGTCTAGGATTTGCTTCAAAATAATTTGAAGTTGGTGGGAATGGATGGGACCATAGATGAAGCAGGACTGGTCAAGATGGATAACTGTTACTACTGGGTGATAGGGGTTCACTATCCTGTCCTCGCTGATTTTGTTTTCAAGGAAATTTACATAATAAAAGATTAAAAAATAGAATGACTGACTTTATTGATTTTTTAAAAATATATCTTTATTGATTTCAGAGAGAAAGGGAGAGGGAAAGAGAGATAGAAACATCAATGATGAGAGAGAATTATTGATTGGCTGCCTCCTTCACGTCCCCTACTGGGGATCAAGCCTGCAACCCAGGCATGTGCCCTTGACCGGAATCAAACCTGGGACCCTTCAGTCCGCAGGCTGACGCTCTATCCACTGAGCCAAACCATTTAGGGCAAATGACTGACTTTTTATTTTATTTATTTATTTATTTATTTATTTATTTATTTATTTATTTTTTCGTGGAAGAAAAACTTTAATTGCCATTGCAAAAAACATCTGAATGAAGTAGAAATTGTTTTCAATAACATTAGTAGAGAATATGTCCTAGAAATTGGAGGTAACTGGATGTAACATCCTGGCAGCAATTTAATAGAACAGTCCCGGATGGTTAGGCTGAGGCCAACACCTAATGAGGACGAAAGCCTTGTCTGTGGGGAATTTTGGAGGATACCTGGAGAAATATTA